ATGATTGCCAGTGTCAACCTTGAGCCTCCATGTACACAGATGCAAATATGCACACACATACATCACACACACAAAGTCACACACAAAACAAAACAAACGTAAGGCTTGAAATGTTTGTGAAGTGATTTTTAAAAATTTCTTTATTTTTATTTTATATGTACAGGTGTTTGCCTGCATTATCTAACTGCACCTGTGCATGTAGACGAGGGTGCCAAATCCCCTGGAACTAGAGTTAACAAATGGTTGTTAGCCACCATGTGGGTTCTGGGAACTGAACCCTGAATCCTGTGCAAGAGCCATCTCTCCAGCCCCTATTTTTTTCCCCCTTTTTGAGACAGGATCTTGCTATATAGCTCAGGCTGGCCTTGAATTTACAGCTGTCCTCCTGCCTTAGCCTCCCAAGTACTGGGATTATAGACCTGTGTCACCACAGAGCTCATTAAAATTGGAGTCAAACACAGTAAAGCATGGTATAAATACACAGCTGCCAAAATACATAGACTGCTCAGAGGTAATATTAACCACAAACCAGAAAGGTAGGGCAGGGAAGGTACATCCTAAAAGCTGTGCTGTTACACAAAAGCCTCACTCAGTTTTGCTAATATTTGCTGTTTCTTATACATAAATAGGGCTTGAACACTTAGGAGATGGAGAGACCCAGATTAGAATTATAAAATGTTTTATTTGAAAAGAAAGTACATTGGTTAGGATTGAAGTTTAACTATGTAACAGAAAACAAAGCAAGTGTCCTCAACAGAATGGAGGCATGCTTCTCTGTCTAAAAGAACCCAGAGGTAGGTGTCATCTAGGGCTAGGCTGGAGGCACCACAGTGTCACCAGAGCCATTTCTGTTTCACCCAGTGTAGCTGCTGGAGCCCCAGTGATTACATCCGCATTCTTAAACGGTAGGTATTAGGAAAGTATGAGGAATGACCTATGTTCTTGAGGAGTCTCAGAAGTCTCACATAGACTTCATGCTTAAGGGTCAGTGGCCAAGAGATAATCATATCACAGACCCGCATCTGCCCTCAAGAATCTGTAAATGTAACTTTTTGTTTTGTTTTGGTATTTTTTTGAGACATGATCTCCCTGTAGCCCCAGCTGACTTGGAACTTGCTATGTAGATCAGGCTGGCCTCGATCTCACAGAGATCCACTTGCCTCTGTCTCCAAAGTGCAGAGATTAAAGGTGTGCACTGTAGAATGTGTTAAGAGCCATAAGCCTAATTAGAAGAGCAGCATAACCATAAATTCCTTAAAGTGGCTAACTGGCCCTAACTTGGCAAGCTGGCCTTGCTCAAGCCTTACCAACTGATCACTCCCTGGACTGAGGGAGACTGTTTATGGCTCCCACCTGTCTCCTTTAGTGCCCTAAGAGAGCTCACCTGCCTGAGAAAACAATCTTGGGAGAGAGACCCTCAAGGACACCAGACCCTGGCACAGAGCTAGCTCTTGCAGCTGTGTGCAGCAGACTGCCTATAACCTCCCTTCCATGCGGATGCCTTCTTTGCGTAGGAAGGCTTCTGTGCTTGCTGTGTCCTCTGAATAAAAGGACATACTCCTTGCTTGTTGTAGATCTGGCTCTGGTTCTTATTTCTTAACTTTAAGTTCCTTCCTTTTCTGCTCTCCTAAATCTATCATGCACCACCATGCCCAGCTTGTAAATGTAACTTTTAACAGGGTGTGCAATCTCGTCCAATAAAACTGGATGTTATTACTTAAAGAAAATGGACTGAGTGGAAAGTGGAGAAGGCTCCAACAACCTCTGCTTTAATGAACTCCAAAAGTCACCAAGAACTGAAAGGAGACCTAAGTTTCGCAGTCACTGTATCCCAGAGACTTCTGACGCAGGTTGTTTTGTGCATGCACAGTTCTCTGAGTGGGTCAGGAATAGGCTGGCAAGTGACTTTCTGATCTATACCTCATTTGTATATTTTTCCCTTCCCTTTCGAAAACACTTTTTGTTACATTTATTTACTGTGCTTGTGGGGGGGTGCATGTGAGCCACAGCATATGTGTGAAGATCAGACAACAACTTGTGGGAGTCTGCTCTTCTCCCATGTGGGTTCTGAACCCAACTCGGGCCATCAGATTGGCAGCAAGAGCTTTGACCCACTGAGCCATCTTACCAACTGCCCTTCATTTTTCTTCCAAGTGAATGTGAATTTCACCTCTAAATTTGTTTTCTCAGCCATGGCAACCAGCAAGCTGGCTTCCCTGCTGCCCATCCCTCTCACCCTCACCCCTTGTCTTTACCAGATGTGTTTCCTCTCACTGGTGCTTTTGTGAGATCTGGGCTCTGTGTTGCCCAGGCTGACAAACTCCTGATGACCCCCAGTGTCCCACAGGAGCATGCCACTTCACACAGCAGCAGCAACAGGTGCTTTCACGTGAACTGTGCTGAGTTGAGGGAAGACTCCAAGGCAAGGCTAGGGTTAGCCTTTAGGAAGGCTGGTCCAGCCCAGGAAAGGGAAGAAGTGCAGACACTGATTACCACAGCTGGACGCTGCAGCTCCAGAGAGCCTGGGGGAATAGCTGTGCAGAGGTGATCATGTGACTAACAGAAACCACTGGGTGGATGGAAGAAAAGCCAAGAGGGCTGTGTTATGAGAGGAAGCTCCCTCCCCCTAGGTTCTTATTCCCCTCCCTCCATATATACTCTGTGGACTTATTACATATAGTAAGTCAAGCAAATTGATTAGATCAGGAATCATGTAACATTTGTGATAGACTATATATAGACCCTAGGCTACATCAATGTTAGTGCAATTTTTGTTTTTTTGTTTTATTTTGTTTGAAACAGAGCTTCACTATGTATTACTGGCTGGCCTGGAACTTGCTATGTAGATCAGGCTGGCCTTCAGCTCACAGAGATCCACCTGCCTCTGCCTCACAGGTGTGCACACCTTTAATACCACACTGGGTAATATTTTATTTATTCTGACATACAGAGGGGAGAAGAAGAGGAGGAAAGTCAGAACTCCCTCATGTTCTATATTTCACAGCACAATGCTATAAACTACGCTTTGATATTATAAACTAGTAGGAAAACAGCACCAGAATATTCCTTCTTCGTCTGCCAAACTAAATAACTGATTTGTAAATTACTGAGCAGTGAGTGGCAAATATGCAAACATTTTCTGTTCAGTATACTAACTGAAAACGAGACATGCACACAACTAAGGCAATTTTAATTAATTTATTTTTATTTTATGAGTATGAGTGTTATGACTGTAGGTATGTAAGTGCACCCATGACATACAATGCCACAGAGGACAAAAGAGAGTGTCAGATCTCCTGGACCTGGAGTTGAGGGCGGTTGTTAACTGCCATGTGGGATTCGAACCTGGATCTTTTGCAAGAACAGCCAGTGCTCTTAATTGCTGAACCCTCTCTCCAGCCCCTAAGGCAATTTTTTATCCAGCTGAATTCACACAAACATGGCTAAAAGAGAACACACTTTCGTACTGCTGTGTTATTTATCCCACTTATTTTGAAATGTCCCACACTAAATTCTCCTGAGTGATATAATAGCCAACTTAAATCACTTAATGCTTGTATCTGTCACGGCATGACTGGAACCCAAGGATCCATGTCAAGGAGAATGGAGTTAGTGGAGACCTTTTTGACCGTGGAATGCTAGGCACTGCCTGATTGAGACACACATAGTTGCTGGTTGTTTAATGGTTGTTTTCTTTCCAATGAGGAAACATCAAAAGCCTGTCCCCAAGCCCTGACTAGTTGGGTCCCATTCACCAGATGTACCAGGTACTCTGTCTGCCTTCCTGTACAAACTGCCCTCCCCTACTCTGTGCCTGCAGAGGACACCTGGGTGCTATGGCTTTGCTTCCCATGGAGCACCCAGTGAGCATCCCAGTGAGAGACTGGAAGATGGGAAAAGAGATTAGGTACTTATCTCTCCAGCTTAGTATCTGCCTGGCCTCTGGTTTCACATATTCCTGCTGAAGGCTACACCTGTCATACACCCCTCCTTCCTGTAACCACTCCCCACCACACCCCCTGTAGCCCTTGGGAGCCCAACACCCCACCTCCATCAAATGCTAGGTAAATAGTCCCTTTGAAAAACTGTATTGCCAGGTGTAGTATTACATGCTTGTAAGTCCAGGATTGGGAAGGCTCAGGCAGGAAAATGGAGAGTTCCAGACTAGCCTGAACTATATAGAATACAAGACCAGCCTAAGTTAGAAAACAAAACTCCGTTTCAGAAAAATTTAAGGTCCCTGGGCTGACAAGATGGCTCAATGAGTAATGGCACTTGCTGCCAAAACTAGTGACCTGAGTTCCATCCCTAGTACCCACATGGTGGGTCCTCTGACCTCCACAAGCATGCCATGGCACACATATACCTTGTCCCTTGACCCCCCAAACAATAAATAGATGTAATGATAAAAACTAAAATGATAGCAACAGCTAAGGGCTCAGGATATAGCTCAGTGGTATAGCATGTGGACATTCCTGAGTTTTATCTCCAACACTACAAATAATAATAGTAATAACTATTAGTGTTCTAAACCCTGTCCTCATCCCAGGTGTGCCATCCCCTTCCTTCCTGGCCCCTAACTGCCCTACATTATGCACATGAGATCCAGCATAGTGTCTTGAGCTCCAGACTGGTTCTTCCCTTTGATTAATGATACCTTTTCACTCTGCAGAACTCCATCAGACTTTGTTTCAGTGCATAGCTTAGAGCTCTCTGGACACTCTCAGGGTTTAGAAGTGCATTTTATCACCTGGAAAGTCCTTTTAAATACTGTGTATAATTAAAAAATCCACAGGCAGCCACCAGTGTCAAACTTGAAGACTCCTGTCATTTTTAGTGACTCTATTTCTGCCATAGGAAAGGTGTGGCAGGTATGGCCGCTGACCTGTGGTTACGGTACTGTTAGGAGAATGATTGTGGGAGGGGAGATGTGCCAATTCAGTGGGCTATTTGTGTGCTTGCCTCTCTGGGATGGACTGACATTTTACTAATCTATTTAGCAGATTGAAGTTCCAGAACAAGGAAAAAGTAAGAAATACCACACTCAACCAAGCCAGTCTGTGAGTAACAGAGTGTCATTGATGCATTATAATTTTGCATTTATTCATGTGGGGGTGTGTGTGTGTGTGTGTGTACACAAATGCCACAGTGTACATGTGGAGGTCAGAGGAAAACTTGGAGGAGTTGGTTCTCGTCTTTTACCATGGGAGTCTTGGGGGCTGAACCCAGGACATCAGTCTTGGCAGCAAGCGCCATTACCTACTGAGCCATCTCACTGGCTCTGATGGATTATAATTTTGATGCATTTTCCCCTGCTCTCCTTTAAAAAAACCATCGTGCTTCCAAGAATAATTAGACCTCTGCTTCTGCTTAGAAGCCTCTGTACTGTAGACTGGGCTGGCTGGAGGGCAGTCTCTGGAGCCCAGTGTTTCTGCTGTAATCCTCAATGGATTACAAGGAACCTTCACATCCAAAGTTTTCAAGAGGGACACAAAATTCCTTCGTGGTTTTCTTCTTTGTGTCAGGCATTCATGTGAAAGTCCTCTTTCTAGATTATAGATTTTATTGTAGCTGTGTGTTTTTGTCTCACAGATTTTCTGCAGTATTTAATTTTTTTTCAAACATTAGTTTTGTTGTGCAGAAAAGTATCTTCATCGATAATACTGTTCAGCACTGAGTATTTGCTGGGCACTTTGGTGTGGGTTAATCCTCTCGTAACCTGCAAATCCTCAGAGGAAACTAGGACATAGTAATGTTAATTGTCTTGACCAAAATTGAACAGTAGTCAACAGTGGAAGGAAGCAGGTCGTCCAACCTCAGAACTGTGGCTTTAATTACCTGGTCAACCCTTCCTGCCTGCCAATTCCAGTGTAGGTACATGAAATAAAGGTGACCTCTAAGAAGGATTAGATTGGGGCTCACTGTTGACCCGGCTCCTGTTACAGTGTCTGGTGTATATATAAAGGTGCCTCGTATATAAGTACACACAAATATGTATGCAAAAGATGCTTTTCTTCTTTGAAGGAGTTCAGAAAACAACACAGTGGGGACTGGTGAGATGGCTCAGTGGTTAAAAACACTTGTCGAGAAAGCCTGATGACCTGAGTTTGATCCTTAGAAACCATAGTAGGAGAAAACTGACTTCGGAAAACTGTCCTTTGACCTTTACATGGATACCTGTTTTCTCTTTCTTTCTCTCTCCCTTTCACACACACATGGGTGCTCACTCACACATGTACACACACACACACACACACACACACACACACATACGCACGCACATACACACTTAATAATAAATAAATGAAATGACAGTGTAGATGTAGGAGAAATGGCTCAGTCAGTAAAAGCACTACTATGCAAGCCTGACACTCAAGTTCAGTCCCTGGAACCCAGGTAAAAATACTGGATGGGGTGGCACCTCTCTCATAGTCTCTCTAGCTGGTTAGGTCAGAGACAGGAGACAGGAACCCACCATTTCCAATCTGAGTGTCTTCAAATAGACCCAAACCCTAAGTGTGCCTCAGAGCCTCCTGGGATATGTCTTAAAAGACCAATTCCTTGCTTTAACCCAAAGATTAATGTAGTAGGGTTGGATTGAGGACCTTGAAAAATCATCTTTATAACAGATACCCCAATGAAGCACACAGGTCGGTCAGTAGGTTGGTCTGTCTGTCAATCTATCTTTTTTTTTTTTTTTTTTTTTTAAAGACAGGGTCTCTTTGTAGCCCCAGCTGGCTTGGAACTCACTATGTAGACTAGGCTGACCTCATTTTCAGAGATCTTCCTGCCTCTGCTTCACAAGGGTTGGGATTAAAGGCATGCATCACCATGCCGGGCCCTATTAT